TACATATATCAAAAGAAACCGATAATATATCGAAATGTCATTAAAAATAATCCGTTATGCCGCAGCAGAACGGCAGAGCGGCAGAGAGAACGGCAAGAATTTTGAAATGCTCCCTAAGTGTGCTGGTAAGAATTCTGACTGACGAGGGAACATATTTACATGTCCAAGCCGTTTTGACTCCATCTTTTGGCCATAACTAGACCTCGATGAGGTATGAAAAACCCCAAAATGATTCATGCCCTCGTGCCTTTGTTTCCGAGATATCTAATTTTTAGCGAATTTTCCCTCCTATTTTCGAATTTCGATCTCAAACTTTGCCCACATGACGATCTCACTTAGACTAGCTTGCATATAAAATCTCAGCATTTTTCAATGAAGTCTCTTCGAGATATGAATTTTTTAAGATACAGCGCTTTTCTATAAACACTGTATAAAATATGCATCTTATGAAAACTTCATATCTCGAAGAGACTTCATTGAAAAATGCTGAGATTTTATATGGAAGCTAGTCTAAGTGAGATCGTCATGTGGGCAAAGTTTGAGGTCGAAAATCGAAAATACAATTTTTCTGCAAACCTGGGACCCTGGAGAGAAAATTCGTTAAAAATTAGATATCTCGGGAACAAAGGCACGAGGGCATGAATCATTTTGGGGTTTTACATACCTCATTGAGGTCTAGTTATGGCCAGAAGATGGAATCAAAACGGCTTGGACTTGTAAATATGTTCCCTCGTGAGTGATCTGTATGTCACAAGACTCTTACTTTGTTCTCCCATTTCATTCACAGCATCTTGATGTTTCTTTCTTAATTGAGCAGCTGTTGCTTCATGTTGTAGATTGGCTTCTTCCAAATCTCTTCTCAAACTAGCTAATTCAGCTTCACGTTTTTTATTCATTTCAACTTGTGTTGATGTAGCTCCACCAGCTTCCTCTACAAGCGAACAATTCAAACAAAATCAGTGGATCTGTCGGGAATATTTCACAGGAAGAATACCTAAACGATCATTCATCTCATCGATTTCACGTGCTAAATCTGCCCGTTGTTTTTCCGTTTTTGTTCTCAGTTGTCTTTCTGTTTCAATTTCTTCTTCTAATTCTTGAACTTTTGACTGTAATTCCTTTATCTTCTTCTGAAGACTAGCAGCTACACCTAGAATAATACACGCGATCAAACTTCAACTACTGAGGAATGAAAGAAAGTAAACTATACACACCTTGTTCATCCTCTAATCGGCCTCCCATTTGTCCAATTTCTTGATCTTTTCTTTTTAAATTTTCTTCCAGTTCTTGTTTTGCTCGTTTCATATCTTCCAAATTAGCTTGTGTTGTTTTTAAATCGGCTTCTATTTTACGTTTTGATTTATCTAAATCAGTGCGAGCTTTCTTTTCTCGTTCTAACGAATCTTCCAATTCATCTAATGTTTGTTCTAACTTGGTTTTCAGTTTATTCAAATGATTTACTTTGTCTTCTTCTGCTTGGAGTTGTTCAGTTATTTTTGTATTTTGTTCTTCCTACAAAAAATTGACATCAACGATTTTTCAATGTAAATTCATGATATACTTACCAATCGTTTTTTCTCTCGGGTCAATTTCGCTAATGATTCATCTTGTTGAGCCATCTCATCTTGCAAGATGTTAATGCGATTTTCACGTATTTTGCATTCGTTTTCCGATTTTTGTAAACTCAATCTCATGTCATCAATATCTTTTTTCAAGCCGTCAATGTCATGTTCCAATTTTTTACGTTTATTTTGTAATTCTTGTCCTGTTTCTTCTTCTTCATGAAAACGTTCTTCCATATCCTTCAGTTGTTGTTCCAAATCGGCTTTTTGTGCCACTAAACGTGTTAAACGTTCTTCAACATCCGCCGTATTTGATCGCTCAGCTTCCAATTGTAAATAGATATCACTTTTATCTGAAAAAAACAAAAACTGGACTTCAAAATATTCCTGATATATAAAACTTATTGTTTTTCACCTTTGATCAATTTTGCGTTATTTTCTTCTATCTCTTTTCGTAATTTTTCTTCTTTTGCCAAATTTTCTTTTAATTGAGCGAATTCTTCTTCCATTTTTTTTAATTCTTCTTCCTGTCTTGCAACAGACAACAGTGGTTTTATTTTCGTAAACAATTTCCACCATGGCCAGTTGCGTACAGCTAGATATTTTTTAACGTTTCGTTGTACAACTTGTAAAGCTACACGTTGTTCTAACATTCTCCGATATTCTTTACGCATAATGTAACCACGAATTTGTGATTGTATTTTTGCTATTATCTGACTTAATGCCGTATCACGCATATCTTCCAGTTGACCCAAAACACCAGCTTTGAAAAATACTTTTGTTGTTCCGAGACGGTATAATTCTTCTGACAGAGCAATATCTTTCAGAATATCTTCGGTGGCTTTTTTCGCGTCAACAAATCCTGCTGGAGTGGCGTTAGGTGCAAGGATACTGTAACGTTGTTTAAATTCCTGATAAATTATACGATTTGGTAACCCGAGCCGACAAATACGAATACCTTCTAGTACACCGTTACAATGCAACTGATGAATAACTAGATGAGCATCGAGGACACCTAGTAAAAATAACAACAATACCTAATTTTTTGTCAAATTTATCTTAAAACATACGTCGAATACTACAAATTGTGATAAAACAATTTTTATCTGCCAAAAGAAGCTTGAACAAAAAACTCCAAAAATGCGAACAGGTGATGTTTTTCTTGAAACAGAAAGTTGATAGAGAAATATTGCGTAGTTTTTAATGATGAATAGTGTGATCTAGAGATGTGCAACCCGACTCGTACCCGACCCGTACCCGTACCCGGCCCGACCTGAAGGCTGGGTACGGGTACGAAGTTGTCAGATACGGGGAGAGCAGTTACGGGTACGGATTCTATTTTTTTTTAATTTACCCGAAAACCGGAAGGTTCTAGTGGAAAACTCACAAAATTTTAGTGACAAAATAATTCATGTAGCTAATATACATGAAGGTTTAAAAAAGAATTACTTGAGAACGTAATGATAATTTGATGTCTGCAGCCGAAAAACAAAAGATTTTAGCTGGGAAACAAAAAGGAGAAAATTTTTAGGTATAATTCGATTACGGGTCGAGTACGGGTACAAAGTTCTCGGGTTGGGTCGGATACGGGTGGAAAAAAATTTTCGGGTCGGGTACGGGTACGAAAATGGTGCCCGTGCATATCTCTAGTGTGATCCTCTTTTAATGTTATATGATTAAAAAAGTGACTCTTTCACGCAAATATGAAGACTCTGCGTTTCGTGAAAGATCACGCTTGAATGTTCTCTTACGGCCTTCGAAATATTTATACACTTATACTTTTGAAATAGAGTATATATGTTAAGAGACTGCCCTAGTGAAAATACTCATACTATGAGTACGACTTTACTCATAATTCATCCATGAGTACTCATATGAGTTCTACTAACAACTTTTGAGTATTTTTACTCAGTGAGTACTCAGTTACTATGTAAGTACTCAGAAAATATTCACTCACCATTTTGTTTTGCAAAAATAAAACAGTATAAAGAACGCAGAATTTTGTGAAGAAACATAGAACATTTATATGATATTTTTCTCGCTGGTCTCTCTGTATATAGTCAGAGATGGACTCGTCTGTGAATAGACTTGTAGTCCAACTCTGGCTGCCTGAGATCACTCCTCTATATGAAAATACCAGATGAACAATACTTATGAGTATTTTGCCAAAAGTTATATGCGTACTCAACAATACTCTAGCATGAGTACTCAAAATCGTCCTCACAGTATGCATTACTCGCTGTTGAGTACTCACATGAGTACTCAGTCATTATTCAAAATGTATGAGTACTTTGAGTACTCACACATGAGTACATTCACTAGGATGGTCAAGAAACCTGAAAAACGATTAGTGAAGTTATCGCCATCTTTTGCTGAAGTAGAACCCCGCAGCGAAACCAGTCAAAAGTAGCTAGTTGAGATAAAAATATCTTTGGCGTAAGGCATGTGTCTGCTATTAGAATGTAAAGTAAGCGTTACCTTTGGTGGAAAACGTTTTCAATCGTCTTAAAAGCACACGTTTTTCTATAAGCTCAGTTTCAGCAAATCGTGGTGACTTTCTTGAGAAATTACAGCTCCGCGAAGACAAAAGTGTCGTTTTCAAAGTGAGACGTTGTATTGTACAGATCAGTGCGACACTTATACATGAAATTATGATTGATTTATTCCGCCAACCGTCTAAAAATTTTATACTAAATCCGCTGCTTAACTTTGAAAACATAGACTTTTTTAGTTTCCTATTATTTCGTCCTACATAGTTAGACATATTCTTGTGCCTGAATATATGTTCTTATAGAGTAAACATTCCTCTTTCAAATGAGTCGTGAACGAATCATAGGAGTTTGATAGTTTTTCAGAAAATCGGAAAATACAAAAACTTGTGAAAATTCACGTTTTTTGTTAACGAGATTGATCCTCAATAGAGTGTTTGGCCTCTAATTTTTTAAATATCCACTTAGACAGAGTTATTACAGGGTTAGTGGTTATTTTTCATGCACTTCCAAATGATACATAGTTAAAAATAAAATAAAATTTTCCTCCGGATAGCGACAGGGTACCCAGGCCGGTTTTCTGGCCCAGACTCCCTTAAAAGCGATAAAAAATACAGAAGATGAAAGTCAAAAATGGACTTCTTACGTTGGATGAGAGGGAGTGTTTACTTTGATTTGTAACTGGAGGTACGAAAAAAATCGTTTGTAATATCTGTTGATGTATTTAAATGACCATTTTTTGATTCGTAGAAATTCTTTGCTGACATAATGCTGTTATAAAGTTTCAAAAGTGCTACCATATTTAGTTAGGGGTATTTCTCATACATACTAAACTTTTTTTCAATTTTGAACGTGATAGTCGTAATTAGTACGCTCAAATGTTGGTACACCATTGCGATTTTGTAAAAGTTTGGGAGGAAAAACGTTCCCGAAATTTCTAGTACTATTTCAGACAAGAAACGTTAGTGCTGAAATTTGACGAAACTTAACGGTTCAATATTTTCCTAGACGTCAATATGGCATATTTCTAGTTAAATTTGTGTAGAGAAAACTTATAGTCTAACTTTCCCTTCGTGTCTGTTTAGGTTACAATAGAAACAGTCAATTTATTACTTATTATTATATTTTGCTCCTGTTTACAGCAGAATCGTGGAAATATGTTTTCACTTACCCCCAGTTTTAATTTCATTTGGAATAATACAACGAACGAAGTGCGGATGTGTTTGTTTTAACGTCGTCATCAATTTATTTAATTGTTCCTGAGAATATACATCATACGTAGAGAGAAGAGTGTGTGAGAGAATATTGATTGATCTTATACTTACTCTATGGGTAGCCGAGATTGTTTGCATACTGCCACCTTTTTTTCCTTTACCGCTACCACCTTTTCCCTCTATTTAGAAATAAAATTCTATGTACAATATGTTTCCGTGTTTCTTCTTTATAGCTTACCTTCCTCAGCTGCTACGTCGGCATATAAATGACTTAACATTGGATTTTTCGATTTTGAAAAAAGTGTGGCAACAGTTGCATTGATGGGATCTTTATTTTTTTCTAACCAACTCGTTGCTGTATATGGTACTGAGCCAGCGTAGTGATGTACTTCAAAATTAGCTTCTGCTTTGCCTTTGGCTGGTTTTGGTTTACCGAATTGTGGATGTTTACCCAAATGATTTGTATATAATTTTTCCACAAATGTTTTATCGGATGCTTTTGGTACAATACATTCTTCTTCCAAAATGGATAAGATACCCATTGGCTATAAACATTGAATTCTGAAACGTTATGTATAGAATGATAAGTTCTCATACTTTTTCGATCAAATCAATACAAGCTTGTAAATCCATTCCGAAGTCAATAAATGTCCATTGAATGCCTTCTTTTTTATATTCTTCTTGTTCTAAAACGAACATGTGATGATTGAAGAATTGTTGAAGACGTTCGTTGGTGTAATTAATACACAATTGTTCGAAACCATTGAACTAGAATATCAAAAGAACCTTGAAAGTTAATTCCTAATGATTTCAGTTACATGAAAAAAGTGAAGGTCTTCTTGTGACTAGAGTCGTACAACGGGTATCTGCCAGTTCTGCCAGAAATAGGGCAGAAGAGGCATAGTTTCTTTTACAACAGAATTTTGTATAGAAATGTTTTCTGAATTTTATGGGATGTCTCCGAAAGTCGGGAAACTTGTCGATACGAAAACGAAAAAATAGGTCTAAACCCGTGACTCTCTTGTGGAAGAAGCTATAACTCGTCTACACTGTTTCTAACAGAAAATCTCCGTTGTGAGTCAACATAACTTACAGGCACCCATTGTACGGCTCTACTTTCACATATTGAAGCAGAGATGTGAGTAAACTAATAAAATAAATGAGCTAGACATACCAGTGCTAAGCATATCTTTTGATAAAAAACAATGAAAAATTCAGCTTATCTAATCAACGGTAATGTGAAAAAAACTTTTCCAGAACGATGCCTTCCAAGCTAAATGTTTCTTCCGTTTTCAAAAGGTATTTCTAAGAACAACTTTTCTGAATATCTGATCAATTTAACTGATCAACTTATGACGATGCATGATTGAACATGTACTTCAGTTGATCCAACTCTTCGAGATCTATCGGATGCTATATGGCGCTTATATGCTTAGCCGTTTTCTTCTAGTATTAAATAGGTTATGATTGTTGATCTGGGCAAAATTTCCAGCAGATGTGAGCCCATATGTATATACTTTCTGATAAAACGCGCAATTTTGCATTCTTTGAGTAGCACAAGGGTGTTTCTACGGAGTCCGTACCACGATATACACAAGTTTGTTCGCATAAGCAGAAACCATTTTTAAATGTATGACCCATGAGCAGGATTAGCGTAAATCGAATTAAAAAAGTTTGAAAATATCGCATCATAGAACGCCAACTCTCGACATTTGCATTTTGAGAGCTCAGTAAGACTAAACTTTTGCCTATATAAAGCAGGAGTGAACGTTGAATTTTTTATGGAATATGTAGTAAAAAGTAGGGCTTTCTCGTGATAACGTTTCAAAGTGTTTCGTTAACGCAAGCGCCTGCGCAAGAAATACTTTATGCACTAGGTGTAAGATAGCTGGTAAAATCGATTTTTCCATTTTTAAAAACTTCACCTATTCGCGAAACTTAACCAACCCGTGAGTTATTGTACAGGTATACCCTTGAAGGTGTCCTCTACAAACTGGCAAAGTTTAGTTTCAGGGTATATTAGATGGAAGTATCCCTCCTAAAGAAAGCTGAAAAAGTCATCAAAAGCTGGAGTCGTATCTTGTGTGGCCTGAAAGCCCATGTCTAATAGGTACGAAAAATATATGGAAGCGACCTGGGGAATTCAAGATTATAAAAAAAAACGAGTGTAAAACAGACAAAAACTCAAAAATTCCTACTGGTGTCTCGAATTTTTCGATTTCAGTTTGAAATCTATGAAAGTTTTGTTTTACCGTTCGATAGATAATGCAAAGGCGAGTCCAATGGACTATTTGAAAGTGATTTTCCATTTTGCTTTGTTGAAAATCTACCTATGGCAAGACGGGTCCAAATCGGGTTTTCGGAAATTCTCCTCAAAATCTCCAAAACATTTTGAAATTTTTTCGATGATATCACGAGAAAGCCCTAACGTTTTACTATATATTCCATAAAAAGTTCAAGGTTCACTCCTGCTTTATATAAGCAAAAGTTTAGTCTTACTGAGCTCTCAAAATGCAAATGTCGAGAGCTGGCGTTCTATGATGCGATATTTTCAAACTTTTTTAACTCGATTTACGCTAGCCCTGCTCATGGGTCATACATTTAAAAATGGTTTCTGCTTATGCGAATAAACTTGTGTATATCGTGGTACGGACTCCGTAGAAACACCCTTGTGCTACTCGAAGAATGCAAAATTGCGCGTTTTATCAGAAAGTATATACATATGGGCTCACATCTGCTGGAAATTTTGCCCAGATCAACGATCATAACCTATTTAATACTAGAAGAAAACGGCTAAGCATATAAGCGCCATATATCATCCGATAGATCTCGAAGAGTTGGATCACATTTTATCCTGCTACTATTTTTTAAAATTACTTTCATTGAAGAGAAGATAAAATTGTTCTTAATGAAGTCTCAATATGGCATGAATCAGAATAAAAAGCGTATAACTCGGCAACCTTAATAGATTTCAAAATCATTTTTGACTAAAAAAATCTCCATTTAATTATATCAAAACTGGTCTAAACTGATTAAGAGTATCTATTATTCCCGCTGAACAAATATGTAAGTTAACAGTTGGAAGCGAAAAGCATGAAAATTTTTGAAAAAATATTGCCCGATAGTTGCTTAAAAAGTGCTCATGAGCCAGTCATCCATCTAGCTTTGTTTCGAGGCAAAACGTGCACAAAAACATCCTCTTATATTCCACACAAATGGGATCGAAAATAGTTTTGTGTAAATGTGATGTTAAACAACGCATTTCATTATCTATAAAATCAGGCATTTGTTATCTCACCAGAAAATGCAGCATTTCCCTTCCAAACAAGACGTTTCCGCTGTCCGCGTTCGTCTAGTAAAAAGTTATGGATAAAATGTACATAGGACAAAAAAGCTAACGACGGAACCTTTTGAGGTTATTAATCGCTTTTTAACTTATACTACTTCTATCTTGTAGATCTTAGTGAATAGTGAAATACCCTAAGTTGGTTTGGGCCTATGGCGGTTTGTTGTTGAGACACTGGATTTTTAGTCAGTTTTTGTCCATGGAGCTTGGATTTCGAGCAAAATGCGACTTTCAACTTTTGACTGCAAACCTGCCACACTTATAGCCCATGGTCATAGTAGTACGACGGAAAAGTATTCGATGTTAATGAATTTTCTTGCCTTCAGATATTGAGACTCGAATATTTGACTCTCATCCTTACCGTCTGGTAAAATGTTCGAGCCTGCATATCTCAAGGCAAGAAAATTCATTAACATCGAATACTTTTCCGTCGTACTACTATGACCATGGTCTACAAGTGTGGCAAGTTTGCAGTCAAAAGTTGAAACCCGCATTTTGCTCGAAATCCAAGCTCCATGGACAAAAACTGACTAAAAATCCAGTATCTCAACAACAAAGCACCATAGGCCCAAACCAACTTAGGGTATTTCACTATTCATTAAGATCTACAAGATAAAAGTAGTATGAGTTCAAAAGCGATTTATAACCTCAAGAGGTTTCCTCCTAAGTTAAAAACATCTTGTGGTCTCTGTAGTTTATACAAGATATCGAATCGTTTTCTAACAGACGGGCGTGTACGCTGGGAAGGAAAATGCTGCGTTTACTTGTGAGATAAGAGAAGCCTCATTTTCACTGGAGAGGATATTGCGAGTACTTGGTTTTCTAAGAAAGCATGACATGCATTAGACAAGACTGTTGCGTTATTGGCTTGTATTTGGTATAATTAGTGTCCACATCTGTGTCACACACACAATCACTACCTGTCTGACACTACGAGGCAATGATCAACTTCTTTTCAGAGTAACTTTCTCTTTGAAACGTTTGTCAAAAGTTATAATGCGCTTGGCATTGTATCCACTTCTACTAAAAAATACGAAGTAACCTGCGGACTGTTAAATACCAAAAAATATTGTATCACTCATCAAACGATTCAAGTTTGTAGGAAAAATATTAATGTCTAGTTCTCCTTCTATTCATATAAATTAGAGCTGCTTTAGGACGCAGCTTTAGATATGTTATCTGAAGCACGCTCAAAAGTTGATTGTAAGATAAACCACGGTAATTTTCATACTCAAAACTATACGTGAAAAACATGCGTCAAGTACATACATCAAAAATTTCAAAACCAGCAATATCCAAAACACCAATGAAATATTGTCGTTTTGTTTTGACGTCTAATGTAACATTGACACGTTCAACTAACCAACTGAACATACGAGAATATATGGATTTTGATAGAGCACCAATTGAATTTACCACTTGATCTTTACTTTGACCTTTGTTTACATACTCTGTACCAACCTAGAACATAAGTATGTGGTGTTCTTTAACTATTGTTTTTTATGATGACAACACTAACTTTAATACGCGGTTTTAATAAACCTTTAATTAAATCGGCTGCATCAACTGCTAATAAATGCGCTACTTTATCACAATCTTCTGTACCATCGGCTTCAGCTTGTTCTTCACGAGGTCTTTGCTTCCATGTTGTATTACCAAAATGCATGACAGCTGCTGTACATTTAAATAAATTCATTTTTTCCTCTTGACTAAATCCCAGAATATCAAATGCTTCATCGGTTAATTTCATCTCTTCGGCATCATCGACACCATCAATTGTCAGCTTGCCTTGTGCAACATAATGATATTTACCAGCATCAGTGCCAATCAATAATTCTTCTACAAAAATGAAAACAATCAATTTCACGATAATAAGCAATTTACGATTAAGTACTAAACGTACTGTGATATCTATCTGCAGCGGCACTCGAACATAACTGATAAAAAATATGATAATTTCGTTCAAGTGGCTGTTGAAAAATGACACGTGATTTTTCCAGCAAATATACTTCAATATCAGCACCAGCAATTTTTCCAGCACTACCAAAATGGATACGAATAAATTTACCCTAAAAATTAACAAGAAGAATATAATAGAAGGAATAACTACTCAAACAAACTTCTTCAACACCGACTTTAAATGTAACTGATGATTATTCATGCATAATTGTTGTTTGTTTACCAGTAATTGGGTTGGCTTTGTGTCTATATACCGCATGAGTAAAGTGAGGAAGTGTTGAGTGAAGACAAGGATAAAATCATATAAACTAAAAATCGAAGTGAACATACAAAAAAAAAATAATAATAATAATAACACATTAAACATAGTGCCTTCCAGCTCTCAATTAAACCATCAAATCATCTTACAATGCAGTGATATGAATCACCGATAAGTGAGTTAGACGAAAACACTAAAAGCTCAGTCTCTTCGTTTAAGCTACTTTTACTTATGAGAATAGTATAAAAAGCGGTAGCAATAATCTTTTTTCCGATGAAATTGGGCTATCTGAAAGAAAGCATGGAAAGCGTTCATTTGGGAAAGAAATGAACGTTCTATTTTGAGACGCTGTTGTAATATAAAAACATGAGATGAAAAACAGATTCTAACGCTCTATCCATTTTCTAAGATTGAAAAGGAGAAAGGTACATTCAGATCGTAATCATCACACAGAATTTAGAAGTATATAATTTGACTTGCATACAATCATTCAAATATTTTTTGATCGTAATCTATGTGCGACATCTTTCTTAAAACTTTAGAGGTCTATTTAATCCGTCAGACATTTTTTGTGAAATTCTATAAAAATTCACTGGTGGGTACAACTACGCATAGATTTCCCATCTGTGACATGCAGACATGTATATTCAAATATATGTGAAAACTGAGGTTTGTGGACAGATAAAAAAGCTTCTATGTGCTGGTATTGGGAAAGCCGTCGTGGTTTCAGTGTGACACACAAACAATTGTAAAGTGCTTACGAATCGAGAACTGTTGTTATTTCTTGTCGTTTTGGCATTTCCATATGCTTCTAGTACCGGATCTAAAGTTTAAAAAATCAAGTGTGAGAGTGACGATATACAGAAATTAACAGTAAATTTATAAACTTGCTTGCTGATACAATTTGATCTTCCAATGTCATCTTTTTTTCACCCTGATTCAACAAGAACAAAGTAAATAGTTATTACACTAAACAAGGTGATGAAACTTACCACATTTTCTTCTTTCTTGTCGGACGCTGCTGCAACCAAAGCAAAATATTGGATGACTTTTTTTGTATTTTCAGTTTTTCCAGCACCCGATTCCCCAGTGATTAACATCGATTGATTTTCACGTTCTAAATTTATTATTACAGCTTAATGTATGAAAATAAGTTACTCATTTCTCGTTGTGTTTATACCTCTTAACATATTTGCATAGGCATTATCAGCCACAGCATATAAATGTGGCGCTACTTCATTTGGTTTTTTGCCACGATACATCATTACAACTTTCATTGTATAGATTGGTAAACGTTTATATGGATTTATTACTACACAAAATAATCCTGAATAGGTCTAAAAATATGAGACTTAAATTGCATACTAGGATGAGAAGTTAGTGATGTCTTTACATACATAAATAAGCCAATTTTTATAACGTGTACGTAAATTATGAAGCACACTGGCATCATTCAAATGCGTTAAATTTGCCATATCATCACACATTTCGTATTTCGGTGGATTCATTAGTTGCACATCATCTTTTTTCACCGTTACTTTCTACATGTAAACATAGCAATAGTTTCTTCCCTAGACAAACATTTTTTGCTATTTCTGGTAAGAATCTTATCCGAGTCTTATCGGATTCTTACATAAGAAGTCCGCACGAAAATGGCAAGAATTTCGTACGAATCCGATAAGAATCAGATAAGATATAAATAAGAATGAGCTATGACTTTAATAAGACGCTCTTATCACTTTCTTATCC